AGTGCCAACCTAGGATTTTAAAAATACTTGAACAAGCTCTTTCAAATTATGAATAAATGTTTAGTTAAATTAATTGCCTAATCTCTTGTTATAATTGATAAAACTCAACTTTAAACACGAACCCTAATGTGGCCGTACAAAGCTAGCAAGTATATCTCTATTTTATGAACAAAACCCTCCATTCAACAAGTAAACTTCAAGTTTCAAACTATAAACCTAACATTTAAATGATAGCTAAACACTTAGAAGCATTAAGAAAAGAGTAAAATAAACAAACACACACACACACACACACATCATTAATCACAAAAAGAGAGGAAGAATTTAATGTTAATGCATGTAAGGGTTTTAAATAATCCAAGAATAAAGAGTTTAGCTACTCATAATCATCCATAAGCTACAAATACACAAAATACTTGAAAACCATTTCAAATTACAAGAGAGAAAGGGAAGAGGAATAGAATAACCAAAGAAAATGAGTTCCAAACATCTTTAAAACTCCAAACTCTTCTAATGCCCAAACCCTAATACAACCGAGTTTCAAATATGTCTTAAAGTGGGTAGAATGCATTTTAGGTTGAGCTCTCAGCACATATGCAGCATATCCAAGCATTTTCAGATAAATAAAATGGAGCATTTTGCTAATAGCAATAAAAGTCGCGAACGAAAGTTATAACTTTACTCTGTTTTGCATTGTTATCTTAATTAATAAAATTTATACTATTTGCACTTGATTTCTTCATCCAAAAGCTTTCCAAAAGTATTATTAAATTTTAGAAATGCATCCAACTAAACTTAAAACCAAAATATCAATAAATTAGCTTCAAAATACCAAAACAAAGCAATGGTTTGCATTTTCAAAATAATATGCACATTTTTCTAACTTGAGTATTTAAAATATGTACAATTGTGTCAAAATATATTAAAAATCTAAGAAAAATATACTCAAATGACATCAAATTTTAGAGGTTAACATGTATGCACAAGATTATCATAAAAACCAGTCAACAATATAACATTTTTGATATATTAAACTTTAATTAGAAACAAGGAAAACCTACTTGCATATATTTAATAAAACCATAATCAAATTTATAATTAATTAGGTTCATATTAAATCATTAATAAAACATCCTAAATTAATCTAACAAGCAATAGTATAGGTTAGAAATTCCTCCGATTGCCTCAAATATTTAAGAAATTAAAGGTTACCTCTACACCAAAGGCTTCCCAAGCAATATTAGAACTTAAACAATGTGCTGCAAGATTAATCTACAAATTCATAACAATAATTATCACCAAGTGAACAACAAACATAACACTTTCAACTCTCAATTATCCACTTTAAACGCCGATAATTTCAATCACAAGTGTAACTTCAATTCCAATGAGTTTATTAGCTCACATTAACTTCATAAAGCTCCCAATAATTTAAATAGCAACAATTATAACAACTTATAGCTCATATTGTTTCTCAAAGAGCCCAAGGTTTACCTAAAGTCAATAAATTCATACATAAAGCTCAACCATATGAAAACTATGTTCTATGAGAAAAAGCTAATGCCTAATAATCTTATTTAACTCTAATAATTTGTCGAACAACAATCCAAAGTCCATGAATCATCGTAGGGTTCATATTTGGGAAGAACATCAAACTCTAGCTTAAAATCTAGCTCAAATAGAAGATTAATGGTGTGGGAACTTACTTTAGGTGATTGCTAGCTTAGTAATATCCCAGATCCATTGCAAAACCTTGCCCTAGCAGAGCCTCTAACGATCCTCTGACTTCCTCTCTCTTCCTCTCTATTTTATGTAGATTTCAGGCCTTATAACATGTTTCAAAAGCTTCATCCACGTGCGATAGTAACCTTCACAATTCCATCCATGCATGGACATAGTTTAAAAAATGAAACGCTACATTTGATGTTCATTCGCACACAAATGAACTGTGGGTATATAGAGCTCCTTTCTCGTAAATCTTTGCACTATGGGCTCATGCAGTCTAATAAGCTTACGAGCTTAGTAAGGATGTAACTAACAATAATTAGGTCCAATGGTTCATTTTGATTGTCCTTAAACTAATAAACTCCCCTTTTAATCTTAATCACCCATTGTTAATTTCTTAACTTTGAGAATTAAAATTCAAGATATTGGAAAAACTACAACCAAATATAAGGAACTTAATTAAAAATTTAGAATTAGCATTTGCCTAATCAATTTAAAAATTAAATATATGGCTTGTTTAACAAAAGTTCATGATCAAAATACAAATGCACTACAAATATAATGAAATTTGAAAATTGATGAGTAAATTTGAAAATGAAATTTTTTTGCTCAAATCTCCTTACATTTGTAAAGAAAAGTTGAAGATAAAAATATGCAAATTTTACATGTTATTTTCCTCACATTTATGTATCCTCTCTATTATTTTCTGTAGCCAAGCAAGAGGAAATACTATTCCTCTCCCCAATTTTTTTCTCGTTTTTCTCTCCTCCTCACCTTTTTTCCCGTCCAAGCATAGAAGAAGTGTGGGTGGACGATTCTCGCTTCTTCACATATCTTTCCTTAAAAATTCTCCGCAATTCCAAGGACAGAGAAATAAAGAAGTTCATGACCTCCCTGTTTGTGATGGTTGCTTATTCGGATGTCACTTGAAATATGACGTTAATTATCTCTTGTTGCTGGTCAAAAAATATTTATATTAAATTAAAACTATTTTTATATTAAAACTTGTAAAAAGTTGTTTAAAGGTTATTCCTTCCGTGTAAAAATACAAGAAACAATTATATTAAAATCTCATACAAAAAAATTAATTATTATAAGGTTTAAGTTATCAATACAGTTTAGTTCAATTATTAATGGACCTTATAGTAATTAATTTTTTTGTGTGAGACCTAACTATAATTCTGCCAAAATACAAGTCATTTTTTTAAGAATTAAATATTAAAATATAAAATATTTTTTTTAGTATTTCAAAAGATAGTCATTATATTTTTTAAGTTCTCAGATGAATAAATTATTTATTTTTATTTTAAAATGAAATATTTTATTAAATAAAAATAAATATAACAATATTGTGTTAGTTTAAAAATAAAAAATTATTTTATTGAGATAATATTCAATTAAACATGTCTATATTATTGAGGGAGTATGAAAAATAATATTGATTTCCATTTCTATATAATTGTTGATCGTATTTCCACCATTGTTTATCACATGCATCGCACCAGCAATTCAGCAAACGTATCTAACATCAAAGAGCCCAAAAAAAAAAAAAAAATTAAACGTGGCGTGACCAATTGGAAGCTAAGTCCACTCCGGATGAAATGGCCCTGTCCGGGTGGCGTCTCAGATTATCAGGAAAAATGATAGTAATTCAGTATTGTCGTGTCATTTTTCTGATATTTTGTCTTCACGTCACTTCAGAAGAAACTAGAAACGGGGATGGGACCAATCTTCTCGCGTGCCATCAACAAATTTGAATCTCCAAATATCATAAATAATAATTTTTTTTTTTAAATCTCGCTCAGCCTTGTAACAAAAAATAATTTTTTTTTTGAAAAGTGCATGCAAGTCCGGCGCTAAAATACTGAATTAGCAAGGGCTGGTCTTTGCCATCGTCGTGGATCTCTCTGACATTGTCATCCTCATCGCTCTCCGTCTCGAGAAATATCTCCTTCCTCTTCTTCACACCCCTCAACCCTTCCCCTCGAATCCTGCGATCTTGACCTCTTGTAAGCACGGCCTCCTCTGTTTTGCATGCATTTACATTCAATCAATTTGCAAGTTTTGCTCTCTACTCCGTTCCTCCGTACGTCTCTCCTTTAATATAAATACTAGGTTTTGAAGTAGAGAGGAAGAAGGGGCAAAAGAAGATGATAGTGCGTTTCATTGAAGATATGGTGGATTCAAGGATAGATGGACGAGAGTAGAGGCGCACTCAAAATTTAAGAATAAAGGGATTTAATATTGATATATATATATATATATACTATAAAATTTTTATAAATTTTAAGAAGTCCAAAAATATATAATACTCATATAATATAAAAAAAAAAAATTTGGGAGGGCCATAACTCCTACTGGCCCTCCTTCCTTTGTTATTGGACAAGAGTTCAGGTATACATGTAATGGGTGAATGTGGTTGCTACGGATACTAAATCCAGATCCCATTCCATCCATTGTCTATATTTGAAGGCATTCTCATTTCAAATAATCTTCACCTAAAGCTCTCAGCCGAACATGGAAGCTAATGAATACTTGACCCTCCCTAGTCCTCTGCCTGCATCACTCATTGCCTCCAAACAAAAATCACATATTCAAGCCATGCTTCAAGAGTGAGTTGGACATGGCTGAACTGCTTTTAATTGTATATTTTAATTTGAATCTGGCTTGTCATCTTCTTTAATTTATCGGACAGGTGACGAGGAAAAATTGTTTGGTGTCTAAGGATCGATACATGAAATTATCTCACGAATTCGCATAAGTATTATGTCTAATATCCATGCTTCTTTTATAACTTTATATCTATAAAGTATCAAAATATTTTTTAAATTTTAAAAAATATTTAATTTTCAATCTGCATCCGATACTTTTAAATTATAAGTTGATACTTTAAAATAAAGGGGTAAAAATTATATTTTTTAATTATAAAAATTTAGGAATATAATATTTTGACATATAAACCTTAAGTATGAAACTATGTGTAAAGATTATGCAGTAGACAATTAGGCAGAGATGAAATAAAAATATAATTAATAATTATATTTTGCTTTATATTACCCTAAATTAAAATAGTTTTAAATTAAAATTAAATTTTTTATATTTTATAATTTTTTATAAATATATTTGTACATATCGATATTTTATCTTTTATTTTAAAAATAAAAATATCAACATATCAAATATGTTTTGTATACTATACGCGTATTAATACATGTGCACCCGTGACGGACTTTTGTTCAATAAGATAAGATTATTGAAAACCAAAAATCTCGAGACGAAAAGGTGTGGCTGCAATTTGCTCGTCAATTCATTTCATGGTACACCGCCACTCAGTTAACCAATCCGTTTCTCCTTTGCCAGGCTCCCACTTCGTCTCTCTCTTTCACTCTCTCACTGCCTTTGGTTGCGAATTGGTGACAGGACCAAAATACGAATTTGTGGGAAAAGAAATTCACCCTTAGGTGGAAACTGATCGAATGCTAGAAAGAAGATAAGAGCAGCTGATTCCTGGGTGCGTCTCTTTCTTCAGCACTCGCAGGGACGAAGATAACAGATATGGTATGTAGTTGAGACAGACGTTGTGGGTGAAAAATCTGTTGTAGAGATGTCAGGTGGTGGGTGTAGCATTGTGTGGTTCAGAAGAGATCTGAGGTTAGAGGATAATCCAGCTCTGACGGCGGGAATGAGAGCCGGCGCTGTGGTCGCACTTTTTATATGGGCACCTGAGGAAGAAGGTCAATACCAGCCCGGAAGGGTGTCCAGATGGTGGCTTAAACAAAGTTTGGCTCACCTTGATTCGTCTCTGAGAAGTCTTGGCACTCCTCTTATCACTAAGCGATCGTCTGATAGTGTTTCTTCTCTCCTGGAGGTTGTCAAGGCTACTGGAGCAACGCAACTCTTCTTTAATCATTTATACGGTCTGTTTCATAACTTCATATTTCTTTCGTCTTTCTGAATTTTCTCATAATTGTGTTGGTAGCTGGATCAATTTTGTTTAGTTCACCTGTTTCTTGTTCGGTAGCAATTTTCGGGAATTATAATTGTTGTTTGATTTATAGTTTCTCGTCATGGCTTAGTATTGTGGTTATCTCTCTCCCTGGCCACATCTCCCTACGAGCCTCTTCATCATCCATATCTTCTCAGATTCTGCTTCTTCACGAGATTTTACTTGAATTCATCAATTCTAATTTATACGAAGTTCAGGTGAAATTCATTTGTAATTTTCTGTGTATGTCAGATCCCCTGTCACTTATTAGGGATCACCGGGCCAAGGAGGTTCTAACTGCTCAAGGCATAGCCGTACGTTCATTCAATGCAGATTTACTGTATGAACCATGGGAAGTCAATGATGCCCATGGCCAGGCATTCACCACTTTTTCCGCTTTTTGGGAAAGATGCCTCAGCATGCCTTATGACCCCGAGGCACCTCTTCTTCCGCCTAAAAGAATTATTGCAGGTCTACTCTTGCTCACTTCTTTTCTGAAATTCAGTTATCTTCAAAAATTTCATTAGTAAAGCTGTTCATTCGTTGCCAGGAAAAGCTGTTGATTTGAAGAATCAACAGTTGCTCTGGATTTAATTGCTTCTATACCAATAAAAAAAATGGTGCAAAAGTAAAGCATATTTTTGAACAAGATGAAGTTCGTTGTAATTGTAATCACAATAACATGATGCATTTTATGAAGGCAACCCATGGGCATTTGTATGTGGTTGACCTAAAAGAAACAGCAGCCAACCAAAAAACAAGAATAACCCCAAGCAATGTTCCCTTGAGTAGTTGTTAATTTCTGACTTTGATGTTGGAATTGCCGTAGTCTGCATCTTTGGTATTTCTTTTAGTTTATGAATTCTTTATGTGCAACCATTTACATTTTATAGAGGCAATACTGATCTTTCAGGAATGATCAAACTTTATTTTAATTTACATTTTATAACAACTCTTGCCTTATTTCAGGTGATGTATCAAACTGCCGTTCTGATAATTTGGTGTTTGAAGATGAATCAGAGAAGGCAAGCAATGCACTTCTTGCTCGAGCATGGTCACCTGGATGGAGCAATGCCGACAAGGCCTTGACTACATTCATAAATGGCCCATTGATTGAATATTCAAAAAATCGCAGGAAAGCTGACAGTGCCACGACCTCATTTCTTTCTCCCCATTTGCATTTTGGAGAGTTGAGTGTCAAGAAGGTCTTCCATCTTTTCCGAATTAAGCAAGTTTTATGGGCCAATGAAGGTAACAAGGCTGGTGAAGAAAGTGTCAACCTGTTTCTCAAGTCTATTGGTCTTAGAGAGTATTCAAGGTACATCAGTTTCAACCATCCCAATAGTCACGAAAGGCCTCTTTTGGGCCACCTTAAGTACTTTCCTTGGGTGGTAAATGAAGGCTATTTTAAGGCATGGAGGCAAGGAAGAACTGGGTACCCCTTGGTGGATGCTGGGATGAGGGAGTTGTGGGCCACTGGTTGGCTGCATGATCGGATACGTGTTGTTGTTTCCAGTTTCTTTGTGAAGGTTCTGCAGCTTCCCTGGAGATGGGGAATGAAATATTTTTGGGATACTCTCTTGGATGCAGATCTTGAGAGTGATGCTCTTGGTTGGCAGTACATATCAGGTACTCTCCCTGATGGCCGTGAATTTGACCGAATAGATAACCCCCAGGTGCGCTTGCTTTTGTATAATTGTTTGCGTGCCTATGTTTCCATTTCCCAATATGGATAACGCTTGATCTGTTGCACAATCCAGTTATATATAGCTTTAAGCATTCAACATTTGCATACATGAGCAAAGAAACTTATGCCCTTTTTGAGAGTTTTTGTCAAGTGAAATAGTACAATAAGTATTTCTGACCCTCTTGTCTTGGCTGTTGTGATGCTTGCAATGCATATAGCATACAAGTTTGCTTTTCCCTTCCAGTTCTATGCCTGAATCTGAGTGCAGAGGAAGCAGTAATGACAATCTCATTATAGTTACTGACTTTCAGTCAGTTGAGATGCTTCAATATTCTGGTTGGCGAGGAAGCTGTGGGTGGAAAATGATGCCCTTTTTTTTTTTAACTCAGTTGGCTATGCTTATGTTTTTGGTTTGTGCCATGCGGGCCCAATTGGGAGTAGTTCTCCCAAAGACGTTTTTTGCATTCACACAAACTTGAATCCGAGATCTCGTATTTAAGTGGCCATAACCCTTTCCATTGGGACCCAACACCTATTGGTTTTGAATGGCATGTTTTGTCCTCTCTCAACCTTTTCCTAATTAAGTATTTTCTTAGTCATTTACTCCTTTTCAACTTGTGTATGGTTAGATGCCTAATCAGCAATAGCTAAGAGACCCATAGTTGTTCTTTAACAAATTTTTACAATTCCACCGCAAAAGAAAAATTACAATCGTTCATATTGTCATGTTCCTTAACTGGACTGAGCTTTGAGATTGTTATTTTAAACATGGATATCAACAGTTTCAATTTATGCATTACTATCACCTATCAGAATGCTTAATTTCAAGTAACAGATGACAGAACTGTCATTTAAATAATTGGATTTTATAGTTTGAGGGATACAAGTTTGATCCAAATGGAGAATATGTACGACGATGGCTTCCAGAACTCTCAAGACTACCAACTGAATGGATACATCACCCATGGAATGCGCCAGAGTCTGTACTTCAAGCTGCTGGAATTGAATTGGGGTATAATTATCCTCTTCCTATTGTGGGAATAGATGCAGCAAAAGCCCGACTGGAAGAAGCACTATTACAAATGTGGCAACAAGAAGCAGCTTCAAGAGCAGCAATTGAAAATGGAACTGAGGAAGGGCTTGGAGACTCCTCTGAATCAGCCCCTATTGCCTTTCCTCGGGACATACAAATGGAGGAAAGTCATGATCCTGTTAGGCATAACCCCCATTCTGTTGCCCGGTCATACGAGGATCAGATGGTCCCAAGCATCACTTCCCTAGTGAGGGTGGAAGATGAAGAAGCTTCTTCGGATCTTCAAAACTCCACAGAAGATAGCAGGGCTGAAGTGCCAATGAACGTGAATATGCAACAGAATGCAAGAGAAAGGTTGAACCAAGGGCCTTTGCAGGTTGTTTACAGGAATACTCAAATGCAGAATGGTGCAACGGGACTGGGAAATGCAGTTGAAGATTCTACTGCAGAATCTTCAAGTAGTAGTACTAGGAGAGATGGGGGTGTGGTTCCCGTATGGTCTCCTCCAGCATCTAGTTACTCAGATCAATTTGTAGGAGATGAGAATGGTATAGGGGCTAGCTCATCTTACTTGCAGCCGCGTCCTCAGTCTCACCAACTCATGAACTGGAGGGGGCTACCCCAGACCGGGTAAGATTTTCCAAACCCCTTGAAAAATTGACGATTATTATGTACCTTCTATTGCTCTACAAAACAATTTTGTTTCAACTTACCAAGGTTTTCTGTTTGAAGTCTGAACCATTTGAAGATTTTCATGACATAGATAGAATGATCAACCCGCATTTCCTCCATTGTTTGGTTTTATTAACCAATTATTGTCACAGTAATATAATCAACATCCCGGTAACAGGTAATCCACCCCTAAATAGGCAGAGTAAATGCAGAGAGGTTGAATGTGCAGACTCAGCTCATATTGTGGGAAATTGGAACGGTGAACATTTATTGGACCTGCATCAGTGTTCTTGTCCTTCCCATTTTACCGGAATTGACATGATTAACGGCTGACTTCCAATGTATATGAAATTTCATTCACGCAGGCAGTTCATCTGCATCCCCTTTTGCTTCCTTGTACAATATGTGTAGGCCTATTGTATAGTTTATAGTGTCTAGGGGAGGAGGGGAGGAGACATTATAAGATCCTTACCCCTCTAATAAACTCAGGTTTGCGATCATCATTTTATTATCAAGGCAGATATATTTATTTTTAAGCACGCTACATTTATATTCTATGCTAATATCTGCAGTTTTATAATATATAAATTCTCCATCTCCTTAATATGCAGAAAAACTAGTATCAATTCTGATACTAGTAACGAATTATTTATTTTGTGTACGTTTGAATGGATCCTGAAATGGTTTCATTATGAGACTTTGCCCTAAATTTTGAAACTTCCTGCTTTTGTTCAATTGTCACCGGTCCATTCATTATTTCATTATTACATTACGGACGAGGTTTCTCCCTTACGTTAAATTTAGAGAATTTGAGATGGCCAGGAAGGGGAAAAAAAACTTGGTTTGGATGTCTGCAGATGAGTTCTAGGGGGACGTGGCATTAATGTCTCTTGTCTCTGTCTCTCTCTTAAATAATTAATCTCAACTTGAGATATGAAATGGCGTGGAAAGAGACTGTGATTATCCCAAGTAGTATTTGACAAAATTGTCACCAAAGCTTGATAGAGATTGTGTTTGTTGGGACCTTCATTGCAGCTAATGTACAAACTACATGCAGCGCTCGATGGGCCAGAGTTTTACCCTTGACATGTTCACCGTTTCTCTATTATCTTCTTCCATTTCTTCCTTCAAAGTTGAATACTAAATCTGCTACTCTTCCTGCTGCTGAATCTCAGCTTTGCCTAACCCATCTCAATCCCCTCAAAATGAATTTGATAAGAACCTGCCAATTTTTCTTCTGCCACCTGATAAATTTAGATACGATCGAAATCTACTTTTGGATTTCAAGAACTATAGCAAGGAAATTATCACTTGGAACAGCCTCAAGCTCATTAATGTATTGAAGGTACTTAAGTAACTTAAAATTGTATGTTTTATAGCCCTTCTCAGACACTCCGTCCCTTTTAATTCCAATCGCTGAAGGAGACGTGTTGGTTGTTGAAAACACGATATTATCGAAGTCCTTGTCTGGCAATGGTCGCTATGGCCATTTATAATTGTTCTGGGTGCCGACTGATTGCAACAATTCAAAGTGCAGGTCCTATAAGATCAAGCAACCTTATCAAATCCGAATATAGAATATGCATGCTTCGTATGGCAAAGTCAGTCAGAAAATGAGCCATCCCAATCAGATCGCAATCCACGTTAATCTCCGCGTTATTTTCAGTACACTTAGGGACTGTTTGAGTCTGGAGGGGGGTGAATAAGATGCGCTAAATTATTTAGCTCAAACTTACGCACACGCCATCAAATAATTGTGGTGATTGGTCCCAAAAAAATGGTTGCCTTGACCGTGAAAATAATTTTTTATTGAATAAGATCATAAGATTTTTTATGTACAAAACAGTTACAACCACACCACCCTTTGTCATGGTTCTTCCTTATAAAAGAAAATACACACACCCTCCACATCTGGGGTAAGATGCCATTGTGACACATGGGCTATTAGTTTACAAGATTTGTTGATGAATTGAATTGCGACGGATAGAAACATTTAAAAAAATGCAAATATTAAATTTATATGAATTAAGCAACCCCAATTTTCTCGTGATATTCAAGTTAGAAGGTTGGATTATGTCTAGTTCAAATGTAGTCCTTGTAGTTGTAGACCTGGGTTTTGTTACAAATATGGCCATAAATTTGCCTGCCGAGAACTCAAATCCACGGCCACAGAAAAAAAGAAATGTTACCTCACATGCACCTGAACTTATGGGTTACAAAAGAAGGGGCAGGGTAAAGAGGGAAGGAACGGGTAAAGAGCGGTACAAAGGTATTCCGATTTGGGCAAAAAAGTATGACCGTATCAACGTTATGTGGTCCCTTATTCGGTTTCTCCTTTTTAGCTTCCCTTATCCTTCACCACTCTCTGGTCATGCTATAAAATTAGTTTGACTCGTTAACGGTATATTGTAAGTCTCTTGATCATTTTCAAACTTTTTTAGGTATTAGCGGTGCCGTTTTTTGTATTAGCGGTGCCGTTTTTTGAAATCCTTATTGGCACATGAAGCATGACAAAACTTATTTAAAGCATTACTAAAGGATGGTTATAACCAATAGGATTAGGTCTAGTAGAGTAAGCTAACTTATTACAATATGACAAATTAAAATTTATATTTTTTGTTAAAAAAGATATTTATATTTAGTGTCTGATCGTATCTCAAATAAAATTATTTTTAATAAGAGAATAATTATGAATAATAAAAAATAACGGTTATAAATGATAAATGATAAAGGATGAGCCTTCAGGCCTAAAAAACAACAATAATAAAGGATAAGCCCCCACGTAGCATAAATGAGTTTTGCAACAGCGACGCAAGGATGGAATCTGAGATTCGTAGCATAGAAAAAGACGTGAAGGAGAAAAGGGCAAAATCCAAGCGGGTGCCTGCCCTTATCGCCCCTCGTTGGGACCTTTGGGGTATGTCATTTATAGCCCCATCGTGCAATTAAATCCCATGATCTTTCCTTGCCCCAAAGGAATTAAAAAACAATGCAACGACTCAACCTCATCTAGCTCTATAGAAAGTGACCCCAGAATCAGATGCTCATTTATGATTGATGATGAAGAACTGCCCTAAATGCTATACGAGCCCATATCCCTTTTTCAGTCTACAAACTATGTTTCCTTTGTCAATTAATGATCCCGCACATGTAGGAATATATCCACTTCTGGCTCCAACAATTTGTCATTGAAGTTGTTCATAAATTTGTGTGATTGCAACCTTCCCATTCCTGTTCATATTTATTGTTCATAATTCCTAATTCGTACCATTTTGAACTTGATGCGTACAATTTAAAAACAGCGATTCATTTCTCTGGTTCTTAAAATTAAGGATTTTCTTTCTCTTCTTTCTTTTTTGAGATTTTGATTTTTCTTTTCCGCTTTTCCCTTGACCAATTTTAGAAATAAGTAATTTATTTCATTCTGAAGGAGATTGGGTTGGAGTTGGGATCTTAGAAGATACGATCAAATGTATAACGTCAACAAAATTATGCTTCAATGTTAATATCTAATATCACAGTTGTAACTAGTTTTCCGTTTTGCGTGAGAGAAAGGCTTGATATTTGAGAATACAAAGTGCAAAAGAACGTTTTGACTAAAAAATAAAAGCCCAAAAAGTTAACATGCAAGGATCGGCCGATCGGCAATTAAGAATGCATTTCACACCTTTTCTAAAAATTTTAAAAATCCACATATACTAATTTTTTTTCTTTGGTAAATCCACTTATACTAATTTAACTAAAATATATACATATAAGTTTAACTACGTAGTAATTAATTTCTTTTGACCAAATTTTTTCTAATGAATCCGTTTCTCACGCTGTCACGCAACATTCATGAGTTTGACAGCGTTGCGATTGGAATTTGGAAGATCGTCACATGGGATTTTGAGAAAGAATCGTCTCTCTCTCCCAACACACACGAAACAGATTTGCATGGACGAAGATAAGATTCGTAGAGCACCGAAAGACGATCGTAGTTTGACAGCGTTGGAATTGGATGATAAAACCTCAAAATCCGGTGGCTCAACGCAATTGTTCAGACCTTTATATCAACACAATATAAAGGTCTGAACTGGTGACTTCTCAGTTGGAAAGGAAAATGCTTGAAAAATTTCCCTTTCCTGTCACTTTAGTGAAGAAAAACTCAATGAATGGGATTTCTTATGCGTTTTTTTTTTTTTGAAAAAAATCTTTAGCGGAAAAGTTGTGGCTACAATTCGCCCGTCAATTCATAGCATCCCACTCAGTTAACCAGTCCTCTTCACTGACTCTGGCTGGCTCCTTGCTCCATCTATCTCTTCTTTCAGGCTTTTAGTAACAACTAACAACTAGGGTGATTGAAAGGACCAAATACGAATTTGCAGGAAAAGAATTTCATTCCTTCACCAAAAAGCGGGAAAATGTTGAATGGGAGAAAGAGTTAGAGAAGTAAAGACAACTGCCAAATATAACCAACCCAAATATCAGATTTGCTTTTTTCTCGCTGAGGCTTAAAATCTCCCTCATTAAAACAGAAAGAAAAGTTAAGAGTAAATACAACTTCTGGGTATGTTTGTTCGGCACGCGTATGGGGAGGGGAAAATATCAAAATAGTGATACCGTACGTAGCTAAGAAGGAGGGCGGGTGCGAATAAGGTAGGATTCGCAGAGGTTGTGAGGTAAACCTATTGTTGTTGGAAATGTCTGGTGGCAGATGTAGCGTAGTGTGGTTCAGAAGAGATCTGAGGGTGGAGGATAATTCGGCACTGACAGCGGGAATGAGAGCAGGATCTGTGGTAGCAGTTTTTATATGGGCACCTGAAGAAGAAGGTCAATACCAGCCAGGAAGGGTGTCCAGGTGGTGGCTCAAACACAGTTTGGCTTACCTTGAGTCTTCTTTGAGAAATCTTGGCATTTCTCTTGTCACCAAGCGATCCACTGATAGTGTTTCTTCTCTCCTGGAGGTTATCAACTCCACCGGAGCCACTCAACTCTTTTTTAACCACTTATATGGTCCGTTCTTATTTCTTCCTCATTTCTTAATTTCTGGTTGCCCTCTGAATTCCTTCTACTTGTATTCAATTTATCTGTTGATATGCGGGAATGCCCATATTTTGTCGGGTTTATTGCTTACTAGCCAACAGCATCATCTTGAATTGCAAGGTCCTTGATTCTATGAATTGAAATTTTTCTGCTGCAGTTTGGAAAACTTAGTCCGACTTGTGTTTTTAATTAGGTATACTAGTTTTTATCATTTTTGGGTTAATCATCACTTTGCATTGTGGGTGTAGTCTTTGATGATTTCTTACATATGAGCCCCTTAATTATCATCTCTATCTTTTCAGATTTGCTTTTTGATCATTCCAAAAGAAAAGTTAAGGTTGTAACTTGCGCTTCATCAGATATGATATTTTGCTTGAATTGATCAAATTCTAAATTGAGCCCAGTTTTGGAGAAAAAGCTCTGCCTAAATGTTTGCTTGTAATTTTCTGCATTGTAGATCATCTATCACTTATCAGGGATCACAGGGCCAAGGAGGTGCTGACTGCCCAAGGCATAGCCGTACGCTCCTTCAATGCAGATTTACTGTATGAACCATGGGATGTGAATGATGCGGATGGCCAGTCATTCACAACTTTTTCTGCTTTTTGGGAAAGATGCCTCAGCATGCCTTATGACCCCGAGGCACCTCTTCTCCCTCCTAAAAGAATTATTGCAGGTCTGCCTTTGTTCATCATTTCTTTTCGTTACTTCAGGTCTCTTCTAAACTTTCCTAGATTAAACTGTACATTCGTTGCGAACTGCTAGCTTATACTTAGTTAAAACAACTTACGTTTTCATGTTATAGAATTTAAATTTGATAACAATATTAAATATTGATAATATAAAAAGATATACTCCCTCCGTTCAAAAATGTAAGGCATTTTTTAAAGAGTTAAATGTCTAAAAATATAAGGAATTTTTAATTTTTCGAGGTGTAATCATTGCCTTTTTTTTAAAAGTGCCCCTAAGTAACTTTATATTTATTATAAGGTGTTTAATAAGGGTAAAAATGGAAAAGATAGGATTAATTGAAAAGCAGGTAATTATTTTATTGGAAGGTGAGATTTGGTTAAAAATACCGTATATTTTTGAACGGAGGGATTAGTTATTATATTGAGCAACTAATCAATTTTAATAGAAATAGGGATAAGGTGTGGTCAAGCAGTAAGGCAACTTCTTTTGGTCTCCGGGACTACAAGTGAATTGATCTGGAGAACCTACTCGTAAGTTGTGGTCAAAGTGGTGCGAAGTAAAGGCATATTTTTCATCAAGATGGAATTCATTGAGGTTATAATAATGACAAATGGAAGGTTAATCTTGTCAAGCCAACCTGCAAGAAGAGCGGTTGTTAGATTCCGACTTATGAATGTTGAAGTTGACACTTGCCTTCACTACTCTTGGCCTATGATATTGAATGGTCAAACTTGATTTCAGTTAGCTCTTTTTCTTACTTGTAGTTTCTTGCAGGCGATCTGTCCAGGTGCTCTTCTGAAACACTAATGTTTGAAGATGAATCAGAGAAGGCAAGCAATGCACTTCTTGCCCGGGCATGGTCACCTGGATGGAGCAATGCCGACAAGGCTTTAACCACGTTCATAAATGGGCCACTGATTGAGTACTCAGAAAATCGCAGGAAAGCTGACAGTGCCACAACCTCATTTCTTTCCCCACATTTACACTTCGGAGAGGTGAGCGTCAAAAAGGTCTTCCATCTGGTCCGAATTAAGCAGGTCTTATGGGCCAACGAAGGGAACAAGGCTGGTGAAGAAAGTGTCAACCTGTTTCTCAAGTCTATTGGTCTCAGAGAGTATTCAAGGTACATCAGTTTCAACCATCCCTATAGTCATGAAAGGCCTCTCCTAGGCCATCTCAGGTTCTTTCCATGGTAGTAAATGAAAACTACTTTAAGGCGTGGAGACAAGGAAGAACTGGGTACCCCTTGGTGGATGCTGGGATGAGAGAGCTGTGGGCCACTGGTTGGCTGCATGATCGGATACGTGTTGTTGTTTCCAGTTTCTTTGTGAAGGTTCTGCAGCTTCCCTGGAGATGGGGAATGAAATATTTTTGGGATACTCTCTTGGATGCAGATCTTGAGAGTGATGCTCTTGGTTGGCAATACATTTCTGGCACTCTCCCTGATGGCCGTCCATTGGAGCAAATAGATAACCCACAGGTGCACTTGCTTTTGCGTACAACCTACATAAACTAATTGCAGGTTCATCATTCATGTCTTTTATTTCCTAGTCTGGATAAAATATGTTCTGTTGCATAATCATGCTATGCAATGTTGATAGTTATGAACAGTGTGATTTACTTCCAAAATCTTCATGTATTGTATTGGCCCAGATCTGATTTCTGTTATTTGGGGTTTGTTCAAAGTAGGCAAAAGGATAGTGGAGTGATGCCTTTTTCAGTTTTTTTGACTCAGTTGGCCTTTTTTGGGGTTTATGTGCTAAGTGCCTTGCCATATGAGAATAGAGATTTTTTATTCTCCTCTTGGCATAAAAAAAATAAAAAAATCAAAATGGTCTTGTGCCTTGGTTTGCCCTCTGACTTCTCTCTATTTACGTTCTTGAAAGTCATCTTTGCTTTTTATATAAACTTGAAAAAATGGTTTTACTTTTCGATCTAAAAAGTAAAATCTTAAATCTAGACTACTTAAGCTAAATTTAGACCGTTCAAATCTTATCAGAAGAATGAGCCTACAATGTTAACTCTTAAGACAAACAATGGATTTAGGTCCATAATTATGTGCTTAATCAACAAGAACTATGATATTTATTTTAGTTTAGTTTTTCCTGATATGCTCTAGTTTTGTTGTGTGTGTTACAACTGGACTGAATTTTTGAGTAGTGATTGTGAACATTGGTGTTGAAATTTTCGATCTCTGGACTCCTATGAGCTATTAAAATATTTCTAGCCATAGAAATACTCGAATCAGCTATTGGATTTTTTTTTCCCCCAGTTTCAGGGATACAAATTTGATCCAAATGGAGAATACGTACGACGTTGGCTTCCAGAACTTGCCAGAATACCCACCGAATGGATTCATCATCCATGGAATGCGCCAGAACCTGTGCTACAAGCCGCTGGAATTGAATTGGGGTCAAATTACCCTCTTCCTATTGTTGGAATAGATGCTGCAAAAGCCAGATTGGAAGAAGCGCTAACAGAAATGTGGCAACAAGTAGCAGCTTCAAGGGCCGCCATTGAAAGTGGAACTGAAGAAGGACTTGGGGACTCCTTCGAATCAACCCCTATTGCCTTTCCTCAAGACATACAAATGGAGGAAACTGATGAACGTATTAGACACAATCCACCTCCTGTTGCTCGCCCCTACGAGGATCAGAGGGTCCCAAGCATCACTTCTTCCCTTGTGCGAGTGGAGGAGGAAGAAACTTCTTCAGATCTTCGAAACACAACAGGAGACAGCAGAGCTGAAGTGCCAAACAATGTAAATGTGCGACAAAATGCAAGGGGAAGAGAAACATTGAACCAACAGCCGTTGCAGGCTGTTCAAAGAAATACTCAACTACAGAATACTACAGTAGAACTGAGAAATGCAGTTGAAGATTCCACAGCAGAATCTTCAAGTAGTAGTAGGAGAGAAAGGGACGGAGGTGTAGTTCCAGTATGGTCTCCTCCAGCTTCTAGTTATTCAGAGCAAATTGTAGGAGATGAAAATGGCAGAGGAGCTAGTTCATCCTACTTGCAGAGGCATCCTCAATCTCACCAACTTATGAATTTGAGGCGGCTACCTCAGACTGGGTAATTACTTCTATTCTATGTTATGCTCGGCCTACTAAACTACTTCGCTTCAACTTCCTAGGCTTTCATGTCCTATCCGTCTGAGGATCTTCTATACATGGATACATGCATCGTTTCATTTCTTTGGCCTCAGTCCGCCTCATTGTCTCTTTATTGTGCACTCTTCATAACATTTTTTTGGGAAAATTATGTTGAAGTTTCATGCAGGGAAATTAATTACCATAACAACTGAATTAAGACCATTGTCAATGTATTGTTAATGGCCTTAATTCAACCTTGCAATAATTAATTTTCTTGTGTGAAATCTGTATGTGATTTTCTCATATTTTTTCCTTGTGTAATTTTCCCCCTGGGTTGGGTTTTTTGTTGTTACATAATACATTATTATAACTAATATTTTGGTATCAGGTAATCCTTGTCTAAAATAAGCAGGGGTAGAAGCAGAGTTGGAGAATTCAGTCGCAGGTAATGTGGGAAACTGGGATGACGAAGCCTCATTGGACATGCAACAGCTGTGTTCATTTCCTACTCCTTAGACCAGTCTTAACATGATTAACGGCTGATTTTAAATGTATGTGAAATTTTCAATTCATGCAGGCAAATCATCTGCAGCCCCTTTTGCTTTCTTGTAAAATGTGTATCTTGGGCCATCGTTGGATCTTACATCCCTTCATAAACTGAGGTCTATGCCCATCATTTTACAATCAAGGCATGCAGCTATTTTTAGTTCTAAACAAGTGGTTAGGGTTTGAATCCCGCCAACTTTTGTATATATAACAGCATAATTGAGAGGGCTCTACGTACTATTTACCCTCATTACCTTGGAGGAGATTAGACTTTTCTGCTGGCATAGTGTACTCTTTGTTTCTTATTAAAAAAACATATTTATTGTCTAGATTCTGGATGTTAAAAAAATATTTTTTTTTTTTAAATTTCACCATTTAAATTGTGGACTTCATGTCTTCTATCTGGTAGAAACTAGGGAAACAGATATCATAGTTCTAAATGAACGGCAAACAGGGAGGCACGTGCGAGACTAGCTTTATTTGTAACATGTGAAGTCACAATGGATTCTCAGAGTTTAATCGTTTTTCGTTGGAGTTTATCTCTGGCAGATCAGAAGTTACTAAAGATCCTCGTGTGCGTCTTACTTTGGTGTGATCCTCAGGCATATATCCGGTTCGGGCACTTTAGGCATTTATACGATAGCCTCAAGATGACTCGTTGAACTCGAATACCGTGTCACGACCACCCGATTGTCTGCCTGCCCATCATACAACACCTTGAGGGTAAGGCTTGCCACTTGCCAGTGTAGCACCCATCAGCTGGCACAACACGTAAATGGGCACCTGCTAACCAGAAAATCAAGGCTGTGAGTCGTAGAAGAAACTTGTATTTGAATAGCAAAGTTTGTAAGAGTGCAGGGCTTACAAGTTTGACTGGAAGTTTGAAAGCGACGGCCGCGGCTATAGATACTGCGGGATTGAAGTGGCCGCCAGAGATATGACAAACTGAATATATGGCCACTGTCAAAGAAAGACCTGCCGCAATTGCTACTCCTACTATGGTAAGCTGCTCCGCGTTGCTGACCAGACCAGCCCCACATCCCACGAATATAAGAACATATGTACCAACGAGCTCTGCCAGACCCTGTTAACACCAGAGTCGTGGGATTAAACATGCCTTTGCTTATCTTGGAATTCATGCATAGCATTTGGTTTAGAGCTACCTTTTGGAAACTACTTGGAGAGGGTTCTTCAGCCTCGTGGGTACTTCCTTGGATGTCATCTTTGCCCCTCTCATGGTTCGTTCGAAAGATACTCCAAATTTAGGTGGCGGGGAATCAACTCTAACTGAGAGTGAATCAGCCATAACTGATACACCTACCTGCAAGTACGTGCGTATTCTTATATGCAGGCCAGGCACGCTTTGTCTTTTGCAGCGAACTGTTGGGGAATGCCACGTTTATTAATTTATTAGTCCATGCACTTTGTTTTGATGTCATTGGAACTAACTAATTCAACAATAAAAGCCACGTAGATTTTAAGGTTATAAAAGTGCATAGTATATATTAAAGTATCAGGCGCTGGAATCTACGACTCCAAACGTCTCAGGTTAATAGGAAAGTAAAAGGGAGGAACATCTTTTTTGCCTCTTTCAGTATACCCCTCTCTTCGAAGACGGAGCTACTTTGGATTGGTAGATGTTTACAACATCTAATTCTTGTGGGTCTTCACAACAACGTCAGCTTTCTCTCTCCTCATCAAGCCAATATTCGCTGCAAAAGAAGTTTCCGATGCGCCATGGAGCTGATTGCTTTGGCTTTCTGCCTATTTTAGTGTATTAGTATTTCAGTTTACTTCTCTTGTTCAATTTGTTTTTATTTGCTGCTAGTTTGTTGTATTGGGCTTCTTTTTAAATATGTATCTTATTAATGTTTTAGTAATGAGTAAATTTGACCTTTGATAAAAAAAATGTATATTTTCATCTTTCTCCTAAAAAATGAGAACAAGAATCCAACTCATATTGAAAAATATGAATTGAATATATTCACTTGATTTCAAAATGTAAGATAATTTATCAAATTTGAATTTGTTGACTGTACTTAATACAAATACTGAGTGCCTGTATCATTTGAGCTGTTGAAATTCAGATCAATGATTCTAAATTTATAGTCTATTTAAGATTAATGAATTTATAGCCATCGATATGAATTTTAAAGGTTCAGATAGTACAAACACTCAATTCCTATATTAAATATAGTCACTGAATTCAAATATCAATTTGTGAGGATCCAAGCAATCCCACCAGTCCTTTCAACTAACGAGAAGACGACTTTAGTAGATATTATATATTGAAAAAAAATAGTCATTTAATTCTTGTAATTTTAATTCAATAGCAATTTAGTTCTTAAATTTTGATTCATTATAATTTAATCTTTATATTTTTAATTTAGTTGTAACTCAATACATAAACTTTATCTTTTATAATTCAGACTTTATATTTTTAACTATTTAAATATTAATCCCTATATCTTAAAAAATAACATTATAAAGATTAAAAATATTTTAAATTTTTAATATTTTTAAAGATTAAAAAGGTTTAGTAATTTAAAATATTATTAATAAATTTTAACATAATTTTAGTCTTTATGATTTTATTTTTAAGATATAAAGATTAATATTTAAGTGATTAAAATTATAGAAATTAAAATTTAAGAATCAGTTACAATCAAGTTAAAGTTTTAAGAATTGAGTTATAATTAAATTAAAATTATAATAATTAAATAATTATTTTTTTTTACACTATATAATAGCTATCTTAGGATTGAACGAGCTAGATGGTGCTCACCCTTCAGGTTCATTTTTAGTAGTGTACTGAGTTATGGCATAGTGATAGTGCCCATGTAACGCGTGGCAAGCACCCCGAAACATGCGCTCCAGCCTGCAGGGGTAAAGGAATGCGTGCGTTGGGAAAACAATGAAAGTGGAGTACCCAATTTAAGTTACTTTCTCTTCGAACTTGGGGATGGACAGTTTCCGGGCTCATAGTTTGACTAGAGGCTTCGCAGCGGACAGTAACGGCTCATCAGTAATGATCAAACTAATTATCATTAAATCAAGGTATAAACAGTAAATTGAGGAATTATTGACTTCCCAATCAAGGAAATAGTAAATAAATGCTACTAATACCTATTTTTGAATCTTGAATAAACCGTTCTCATAAAGTTTGTCTTCCAGTCAAACCCAAGTTTACAAGTTTACAGTATAATTTTAAAAGAATGAAATGATAGTGAGGTCTTCAATAATTTTTTAAAATAAATTATAAATATTAATTTGGAAGGTTATAGACAGGAACTGTAATTGTAAATTAAAAATTATATTTAAAATTTAACTATTTTATTTACAATTAAAATTTTTGAATTTGCAGATATTTACATCTATTTTTGCAATAATATTTTTTTCATAAAATTCGGTCAAAATCCTAGTTATCTATAATTTGTTTAAGGATTTAAATGTTATTTTTCCTTGTATGAAATGGTGTATAATTATTCCTCCTTCTAATAATAATCGCCTTTTCGTTAAAAAAAAAATACTCATAAAGGGCATAAGTAGCATGTTGAAATAATGTTGATAATTTTCTTCCCAAATAGTACTAGCTAACATTGAATCTACAGTTAAGTAGTAGTACGTTGAAAAGAAAGGAAATTATATTCACAAAGGCATAAACAATACTAGTAATAAATATTAGCTAAAGTAAACTTTTGATTATCTAATTTTATATAAAGTTTTAATTTAATTCCTTAATTTTATAAAGTATTTTTTCTTTTAATCTTAACACCATTAGTTTCAAATGATTATTTATTTTGGCAATTGTTATTATTTTTTAAAAAAATTAAATTTAATATCAATACTTAAATATATTTTGTCAATATTTAAAAATTTAGTGTAAAATTTTTTTGTGATGAAACTAATAATATTAGAATTAAATGATTAAAAAAATTTATAAAATTAAGAGGTTAAAATGAAACTTTATATAAAGTTAATGAATTAAATGTATAATTTGACCGGTAAATATTTTTCCTACATTTTGTAAAGCTTCCTGTCTTGGTTTTATGGTTAAGACTTAAGACAGTTTGAGTCTTGACTGTTATTTTGACCCTTGAAGATCTCACCGACGGGTGCAAGACTGCGATGAGCATAATTCGAACCCAGATTGAGCTGTTTCCCATTTCGGGTATTGTCATATTGTGACTGATTTCCAAATCGTGTGGCTCAAATGCCACTGGCTGCCATTACCATTTTCTTGTGTATACCCTATAATAAACACACAATTCACAAATCACATATTAAATGAAGCTTTAATGTTCCAATAATAATTATTTTAAATTTGAATTTTTTTAGAAATATTAAGAAAAAATAAATAAAAGATGTTGCTTCATACTCCTTCCGTTCAAAAATATAAAATATTTTTAATCGAATCTCACCTCCCAATAAAGTAATT